TTTATTTCTTAAAGAGTTATTGTAATTGCAATAACAACATACAAGGCTGTCTCAGAGTGGAATGAGAAGTTCAAAGTCAGCAATATCCAACACACATTTGATGTTTAAATTACTCTACACCTTAAAGTCATTTACTATTCTTGACTGTGACAGTGATGCTTGAAATGAAGGAGGGCACCATAGAAAGATACAGCTAATGTCTTTTAGTCTGTATTCTTCAGAGCTCCACTCTATTTGTGATTCAGGTTTTGCTAGTTGTATAGTGAACTGTGTTTGGCTCAGGTTTAAAGTTTTGCATTCACTGATGAGCAAGTCTTTCCTGGGCACCTCATTCTCAGGAAGTTCAAATCAGTTTTGTGGGCTAGATGAAACAGAAATGTTTTTAAATTTGGGTATGTGTTATAGTTGCCTGCTGGATATCAAAGATATTATGTAAACAACAATGACAGTTGGTATTTTGGTTTCAAAGTTTTGATACCTAGGAAGTATAAATATAGTTGCTTAACAACTAAAGGCTCATTTTCATGTTATAAATCTGGCATACTCTAAGCTGAAGTAGCTCAGAAAAATATTAAAAAATTTAGAGCCACATATTTTGTCATAAGATGGAAAACTTCAATTGTGATGATAGTTAAGCTTGTGTTTATAAGAGGTTCACTGAGAATTTTTCCTTATATTCAAAATAAGTTTCCATTTTAATAAAAGTGTAATTATTTTTAAGATAAAGGACTTGAGTACTGGGTCTACAATGCTTCTATTTATGGTAATTTGTGCTTAAACATATTTGCTTCACATTTAATGTGTAGGTTCTATTACTTGGGTCTGATGAGGACAATGGTTCTGGAAATATCTGTCAATGAAAAGATAGTTGGCTGCATTACAGATCCTAGGAGAAAGGGCACACCAGACATGTGCAGAACTGGTCCAGAGGCAGAGAGAGAGGGAGAGGAACAGGAAGGAGGAGGTGAGGCAAGGCAAGTCTTCCAGGCTGGCTAGATTGAATAATTTCAGGAGGCTCTGGAGCATAGGAACTCTCACTAGTTATTTGATACCTGCTTCAGAAATGGAGGAGAAATGGATAGTGGTTCAGAGTTGACAGTCCAGATGTTGGTGTGAGCTCTGTATTGGCTGGCCAGTATTTGAAAAATAAGCTCACAAGAGCAAGGTGTTTACTGACTGGTAACAAGTTAACTCTGGAAAGGGCTATCTCTTTAGGATCAGTAAAGTCAAACTATCAGAAGACAGAAAGTAAAAGACATGGGTGATGCTATATTTAATATAGTATTCATAGTTATTAAAAGCAAATGTTAAAAGATACCTGACTCAGGGACCAGAAACTTCTTTAGCATTCAATGCCTTCAAGTTATTCAATAATGTCTTCAAGTGTTAGAGACCTGCAAGTCATGTCAGCATATTATTCTGGCAGCTCCTAATAACAGTACCCATTTTGCTTATCTCCAATGACAATCATCCAGTCCTCCTATTTCATGTCTGCTTTAGAATATGTAGCATTAGTCTCCCACATGCTCACATGAATAGTGTTCTTGTTTTCAGTATGGGCCCATTTGTTTTACAAGTGTTAATTTGGCTCACCCTATTTTGTGCCTCCCTAACCCTAGTTGTTAACTTACTTGTTCCTACTGAAAGTACAGGTCCACAAACTTCCCTTGCTTCTATAGAACCAACAGACTGAGCAAAACCACAAAGAAGAAACTTAACACATGCATTCTTACTATGCTGACTTGTGGCAAAGAGACACAGCTCCCAGAGTCAACCCTTAGGAGCATATCTGAAAGACAGATGCTTCATAAGGAGCTCAGGGAACGTATTTGAAAGAACAATAAACTTTATCATTTTCTTCAATGAAATAGAAAGAAGATTGAATCTCTTGATATCATTCATTGATGTGGACTCATGCTTGAAAAGTTTTTTGTGAATTTTACAAAGCTTAGAACTCATCGAGAGTATTTCCTAAAGAACTTTATGAAGAATTTCCTTATCATGAAAATATTGGCTCTGACTTAATCAATATGTATGTTGTTTTAAATTTTAGAAAAAGGGTATTTTTTCTCTTCAAATATTTTGAAGTGTCTTAATCTTCCAGAGAGCACTGCAACGTTCTCACAATCTTATTTAATAACATATACAGTTTTCTACTTAGACTGTTTATTAAAAACTGTAAAACAGAAAAAAGGGTAAAATGATACATAATTTCAAAAAATAACATTAAGAAATCATCACTAGTTGATACATTACATATTGCTATCTCAGAAGTAGTTATTAAAGTTACAAAATCAAAGCACACAAATGAACAGACAATCAAACAATGACAGCACAAACTATTGGGTTTGATGAACTATCAAAAACTTATATTTATTATAATCACAAACATCCTTCACCTATCAGGACTTATTCCCTATAATAAAATTTATAGTTTGCCATTTAAAAATACTCCTGTCAACTGAATCCTTACCGTGCTAAATCACCTTTAAAATTAATTTTACAGCCAGGCAAGATGGCACACGTCTGTAATCCCAACACTTGGGAGGCTGAGGCAAGAGGATTGTTAAAAGGTTGACACCAATCTGAGGTACATAATGAGTTCAAGACAAGCCTAAACTGGATAGCAAGACCTTGTCTCCAAAAGAATTTATTTATTTATTAAATTAATTTTATCATAAATTACTAAACATTTAGTAAACCATGATAGTCCAGAATTCATTCACATTCACTTTTAAGAAATAACAATATATAAACTATGAATTAAGTATATTTTTTCAAAAATCTTGTATTTGATGTTTCAATGCTATATTTCTCATATTTCCCTTTATTTTTCTTTGTGATATCTTTAGCCTCATTTTCTAAGGATTTCTGGTATGATTATACTTTACCAAAGTAATCACAAATTAAGTTCATTTTGTTGCTCCACCTCACATATCAAGGTTGATATTAAAAATCCATCACTAATTTCTTCTTCTTTGTCCCAAGTGATAATCTGTGGGAATTAATTACAATTACCAGAGGACTTGGGAACTGAGTATATCTCTTTCACATTTCTCATTATCCTCACATGATCCAGGAATGGTTCTTTATGTGACCCCCAAGTATTTTAAATGAACTGAATTGATGGTCTGGGGTGAGACTAGAAAGAAGTTCAGAAGAGTATACAGTGCTTCACAGCACTTCACAGATCGCTTTGTCTGTACAGTCTCCCATGTCAATCCATTAATCTGAATGTGTGATTTTTATCACTCGACACAGGGGCTTTTATTCTCCTGCTGTGACCTCTGCCAGACCCAACAAGTAGCTGTGTCATTCTACCTATTACCCAGAATTTAGTATGTGCCGTTAGGCAATAAATATTCTTAGATTGCTGCCCTTCTCCATTCTTTCTGTTTTCCCTGTACATTCCATTTCACTATCTGTTAATGGACTATGTCAAACAGGAGGTGTGTGAGCTACATGTCTGACTCAGCATCAGGAGACCCCTAGCACACTGTATGTAGGTAGCCTTGCCTCCCCTCCCTAAGGAAAAAACTCCACGTGTGGGCTTTCTCATACACCTGAGCTAGACTGGCTTTGGAGAGACAATCACATGAGATGATGCCGGGAGTTCTGGGGCCGCATGAGACCAGGCAGTTGACAGGAAACCCAAGTGAGTAGTAACACTGGAGCAGAATTGAAATACACTGTGAAATGCTGGAATGTAGTTTTCCTTTGGCCTCATTTTCACTGCTCTATACTTCTTTGCTTTTAAACTAATGAAGAAAAAAAACCTTGCTTCTTGGTTTTTAGACAAAGGATAAGTATAGTTTTTTTTAAAAAAGGATGCTTACTTTCACAAAACATAATTGGCTTTCTGCTTTACTGGTTACTGATAGATGATTAACACAAATTTTTAAAATAATAAACACTTAAGGAAGTAGAGATAAATACATATTATATATGTTTTACAAATTATGGACTATAGTATATAACATATATATGATTGTAATGCTAATATAAATTTACAGTTAAAAATATCCTTAAATAACTTTACTACATCTAAAGTCTATTGCTGAACATTTGTTAATACTATTTTCTCACCCTAAAGAAATGTTCAGGAATTCATATCATGCTGAACATTATTTGCACACTTATAATTTGCCATGATATTTAAGCAATCAGCATTAAATTCACAAAGACCTCTGATCAATATAGCACAGCACCATATTTTCAGGTTTGCAGGTTTGCAGTTTTTGGAAATTTTATCTCCAAAATAAACTCTTACTGTAGTGATTTCTACAATTGTTTAAGATTAATTCTTAGAACACCAAGAAAGAAATAAAATTCCATTTTTTTTTCAAATTTCACAATATTCCATCTATCCATTCCTTTTGGAGAAAAACATTATTGACACAAAGGGCAAAAAACCCCCACGAAGCCACTATGGGTTAAAAAAAAAAAAGTCACACTGTTTTGTTTCTGACAAGGTCTTTCCTCAAGGACATGGTAGTCCAAATTGTTTTAATTCCAGCTGCTCATTTTGTATGCAACACAGCCTTTGACGTCTATGCTGTCGTCCACATTTGCGAGAAGGAAAAAGCATCTTAGGTTCTATGATTATTTCTTACTAGAATTTGATAATGTGGACATTAAGGTAAAGACAGGAGCCAAAGCAATGCCACAGCCCTATTAAAACTTCTCCACCAGGAGGCAATTGTCACTTACTCATTCCACTCTCTCCGTGCTGCCCCTCCCCAGTTTGCAGCGTTTCATTAAAGACACACAGCTGGGCACCGGTATATTCTTGAAAAGCTTTTGCATGCAAAATAAAATGCCATTCGATCTAATACTGTCCAAGGAATAAAATAAAGTCAGCTCTCAATTAACATAACAATTGGGAGCCAGGCTGTTGCATTTCAAAACCTAGGTCTGAGTCAGCCTTACTATTAGGATCACCAGTATCCGGAATCAGCACATTCTAATTTACTGTCACCTAACCAAAATCTCAGGCTTACCTCATATGTTGAATTATCTGCTGTTCTGAGTATAATATCTCCGGTAAATAGTCCGTTTGAAAAAATGCAACGAGAGGGTTAGACCACAGCACGTCTCGCTCCTGCAGCAGAAGGCACTTTCAAAGGACTTCAAGCTGTGACCTCAGAGACAGGCACACCCGCTCCCATCCTTCAGCCAACCTTCTGGGGAGAACAGGTTCGATGACTGCAAAGCTGGCTTTCTACATAGCAACACTTTCAAATGAAGCATTCTGTGCTATGAGCTGGGAATTTACATCTTCCAAATTCGGCTGGCCCGAGTCAATGCTGCTTCTATGCCTGAAAATATTAAGCATCTCACTGCAGTCACTTAATGCAAGAAACTATCTGAGGTGACTTCACAAACCCTGTCATTCTGTTTGGAGGCTAAAGAATGAGCATGGCATGCATAATTCATGCATTAAAATCTTCAATGCACTTCCTGTAACCGCCGTTCTATCCAGTAATGGGCTATTGATCATCTCATCACTAAAACAATTGGGACTACGTGATTGGTTTATTTCCACAAATAAAATTACAACCTAAATCACAGGGAGAAGCCTCCAACCCTGCAGTAGCCACTTGGGGCAAAACATTCCCAGAGAAAAGATGACATTTGCACACGGCAGAACCTGTGAACTGGACTCTCTTTTGGGCAGAAATGCTACAGCATCTGCTTCCTTTAAAAACACACTTGTGACAGGCTTAGGCTGAATATTTTATATTATCAGTATATACACAGAGCTGATATTTCATACCATTTCTAGAATACCAACCAGGTTATACACATTAAAGAAATAAAGTGACAAGAGAGTGGTATGTGGTTATTCAAATATAAGAGATTCAAATATCCTTTCTTAGAATACTTTCATTTTAAAATTATGCCTGATTTCAATCATGTGCAGAAGTCATCGTAACAGATTCAGGTATTCATCAATATGAACTATTTTGGACCCTAAACACCTTTACTCTGGGTGTGGCAGTGCTGAGCTTGTTCCAAGCTCTCTTTCTCTTAAGAGTATAAATGTCTATGAAAATACCATTATTTTCACTGGCTGGAAAAAGTAAGCTTTAAGACAAACTGTTCATTTAATTATGCTAATATTCAGCAAGGAAAACTACAGGCAGTATTTTTAAATGTCAGAATGGTATTTGCAAAAATATCATAGTGAGAGACCCATGTTAAATAATTTTGTAGAATTTTTATCAATTTAATCACCCACTAAACAATTTTTTTGTGTGTTGGTTATTGTCATTTTTTTGGTGCCGGGATCCAGCTCACAACCTTGCACATGCCAGGTGCTTGCCACTGAGCTAAATCACTGGCCCTGAACCAATTTCATATGAAGAAAGCATTTCATTTAAAATTTGAAATTTTCCTAATGTATTAAGTATGAGGATATCAAAGTAGAATTACGGTGGGACTCTAAATTACTAACATAACCTCCAGTAGTTACAAATGTAAGCAATAGAAATTCAAGCTCCCTAAAGTGCCATGATTCAACAGTACATAACCAAAAGACTAGGAAGAGCATCTGTTTACCCCACTGCACTTTCAGTAATGAATGGGAAGAAAACCAGTACTGTTTTTCCTGTATAAACAATCAGGGTCCATGTCTAAAATGGAGACTACAAATTTGCAATTGCAAAATGTCTACAAATGGGGAGAGATATAGCCATAGTCATCATCCTCACCCTCACCATTATCATCGGCCCAGAATAGATAAGTGTAGGAGCTAGCAGTAAAAAAGAAGGCTATGGCAGAAAAAAAACACAATGAAGGATGTAAATCCCAAAGAAATCAGAACAGGCAAGCAGTAAGTAAGCTTTGAATAAAAATAACTAGAAAAAAGTAGACAATTTCATTCCCAGATAAAACAAAGCCCAAGACTGTAGTAAAAAGCCAAGTTTCATTTTCCAGAAGTCTTTCTGCACCCCAGAAAAACACTTAACTGATCCTCTCAAAGGGATGGAAAACAGAAATGGCCACTTTGGCAAAATTTAATCTCTGCAGATCAAGAGGTTTTCCAATATTTTTAATTTATAATGCATGGAAAATATGGACTGAACTCTGTAATGTGAGTAGGGTCAATAAATAAATCACAATTTGGGAATAAACCAAAGCATATTTTGTTTGTATAAGTAGCCTACATAATGACTGTCCTTGGGAAATGCATTGTTTTCTTCCATATGAGGAAAAAATACCATGTAAGTTAGGAAAAGAAACCAAAGTTTCCACACTCCTGAGTTCAAGGCTTTATGTGCTACAAGAGAAGACTGCATTGTTCTTGTTCAAAGTCTTTTTCTTGCAAAACAGAATAGGGAAACATCAGTCAAAAACAAGATGGTGAGAGTAATACAGGGCTTTAAATCGAGATAATGGAAAGTCAAAGTGGGTTACTATAATATATCCTGCTATTTTTATTTATTTTTCCCTTAATTAAAAGGATAAAAATAAAAAAGTAAATAATGGAGTGGAGATTGAGATAAAAGAGGGCATAACAGCAAAACAGCCCAGATCAAAACATAACCATTTAAGCAGAATAGTGTTTCAACACCAGATAATCCTGACATAAAAGTAGTTACCTATTCTGTTTTGCTAGATAGAATCAGGTTCGAAAGTTTAGGCAACAGCTGTGAAGATAATGAGATTCATTATGACTCCCATTCTCGTTGACTTTTATCTACTTTTGAAGACCTACAATGTCTCCAATGTTTTGGTTTTGTCGGTTTTGTTCTTTACAGTTTTGTTCAATTTTATTATAACTAATGATATAGGCAATTCTATTAGAGATAGCGGGAGGCATTATGGAAACCATTGTTGATCACCTTGTATTATGTTTTTACATTATCTATTATGTCCACCCTTTTGATTTGACCGACTCTGCTCTGTTATGTCACATTTGGTTTTACTCTCTTCCAAAAAAGTAATAAGAACCGTGGGAGCAATAAAACCCAAAATGTGTAATAGTCATTGTACAAAAGAGAGGAAAAGAAAGTGCTCTAAACTATATAACTGCATGTATATTTAAGTGTATAAGATAGAAAATGATATCACTGAGTTTTATTGGATCATTGAACAGAACTGTTTGCAGTATCATTGTTGGAATGTCCACTTTACAAGCTTTAATTTTGTGACTTGAACAATTATTTCTAAGATGACAATATGTAATCCATTAACTAGTGATTTCCTGTTTATTTTTTTTTCTGTAAATCTGTATAACTTGTACCCTTTCTCTGCTTTTTTTTTCTCCTTAAATAAAATTTTTTTTTAAAAAAGTCTTTTTCTTTTTCTTTCTCTGCCCTGCCAATGCCCAAGCTATCCACTAATCATGACACAGTCATTCTTTAAAAACTTAATTATTGAACACTTTCTACAGGTAAGGAATTGTACTACATTATAAAAACAAAAATGTATAGGTCAGTGGTTGTTCCAACATGTTCATGTGTTAGTGAGAAAAACAAGTTAATTTCTGACACAAAATGAGAGATACAATCACTATGATACATATTCAGATACATACAGGAGAAAATCACATAGAACTGTCTCTATGTAGTAGGTAACTGCCAGGTACATGTAAACTCTTACTTTCCTTCCATTCTAGTAAGCCAAGTAACAAAAGAAATATTGGCAATGCCATCTCTTTATTGAAGCATTTAAAAAGGATTTGTTAGAGGTATGATATTCTGGGTAAACAGAATGGAAACAACAGCTTTTAATGTTTAACAAGTTCTCAACTAACTTTAGGTTTTTCCTGAATATAAACAAGTGATCTTGGACACATCATTCATAATCCTTGAGCCTAATTTTATCACATAGAAATTAGACATATAATTTCTTTCATTTTTATGTGAATTAAATAAATAAGAACACAATCATTAAACGTAGTTTTTTTAATCTATAAATGAGAATTTAAATCCTGCCTTGACTTTCTCCTTTATAAAATAGTTTTTTTTTTAAAAAATCAATCTCCTCATACATTTAGAAAAAATTCAAATATTGTAAAATCAATGTCTCTTAACACAGCTTCTGGCAAGTAAAGACTTTAAAAATCTTAACTTATTTCCTTTACAGAATAGACCTAAAAGGAACAGCATTTCCATTACAAGGCACAACATATACATTGTAGGATGTCACAGGACATGGCTGAGAAATTCAGATCTAAAAAGTTTGAATGGGGCATTTTGTCAAGTGATACAGGAAAAATATGTAAAATCAAATTTACAAAATTTGATAAATAAAGGTGATTTTAAAAATCACTTCTTAAAAATACTATTAAATTTTTGAATTTATATATATTTTAAATGTTACTTGTTTGATGATCTTTTATAGAGAAAGATATATTTAAATGATAATATAGACGTAGTCTACCAGTAATGATGAAAACCCAGCCAAGGTAGATAAAGGACATGGATATGAGACAAATATTCTAGAAATATTTAGATATTAAAAGTTTTATAGAGAACTATGAGGTTGGGAAGAGACATAAAAGACTTTAAAGGTCAAATAAATAGTGGTCTCTTTACCATTAACACACACACACAAAATTCTGGAATTATCTTGAATATGGTAAGATAACAAGAACATATTGTAGCCATAGCAAAGGAGAGATAGACTAGGAAACAGGATGAAGAGTTGGTAAAGTGGTGGGCATACAAGTTTTCAGCAGATCAATAATGAGGCTGTCACTAACTGAACATGTCCAGGATAAACAGAAATGTTTAAGATAGAAGTGGATGAAATAACAGTTGAAAGTGTATAGTAAAATCATAAGTGAAGGATGAAACCTTGAGATTTATATAAGTAAATAAACATAAAAGCCTTCTTTTAATATAGTAATAAGTTGATGACAAAAGAACTATATACATACGTACATGTATTATATACATGTGTATGTTATGTTTAATATAAATGGCAAGGCTAAAACAATGCTTACTATTTTTTTTTATTTTAAAGAGAATAAAACCAAACAAAACAGAATAAAGCTAATTAGAACCGAAACATGAAAGTGATACAGGACTTCAAAACAAGATGATAGGAAATCAACCATGGCTACCATGATATATTTTATTGTCTTCACAGAGCTGCCCATACTTTCAGACACAGTAAAATCAAACAGAACAAGATAAGATAAAACCAAACCTAATAGGGCCAGAGATTTACCTCAGTGGCATAAGCACCTGCTTGGCAAGCACAAAGTTGTGAGCTCGATCAGTGGTACACAAAAAAAAAAAACTAACAAAACTATGAAAACAATATAGGAATTCAAAACAAGATAATAGGAAATTAATAATTGTTA